TTGAGTAATATAGTCTATGGATCACTTTGTACTGAATCAGTCTGTGACGCGTGTTTACAGAACAGCGATGCAGCTGAGACATCGCTTCTTCCCAGAACTCCGGTGACATGTCTGAATTCAAGTCCCAGGCCCAGGCTCAGTATACCAATTTTGACGCTAGGCACTTGGAACCTGGAGCAAGCAACAGGTTTTCATCCTTAACATAGTATCTAATTTGCAAATATTGGGAAAAAAAATGTGAATGTGGAAGGTTGATTTATTATGTAGTTGAGCAACTTATGAAAAATGCCCATTCATATTTAGATCTGATAAAGTACTGATGCCTTTCATTCTCAAGATTGCAAACACCCCATCGAATTGCCCAGGTCTGAAGGAATGATTCTGGCATATGGGAGCATACTGTATATGGAAACAATGGGAGTTTTGCAGTGCAGTTTTATCAGCTTCAATATTCCTAATGGATTTGTTAAAATGAAATTTTGTTTATGGTTTTACACTTTTAAATGGGACTTATTGCTTTGTTTTTGTTGTAACGTGCTGATTCATTATAATTGTGTTGTATCAGTGAAGTCGATGGACAAGAAATAAGCACTCCCAGGACAGAAGCCATCAAAGGTGAGTCCTCCTCAAAGTCATATCTTTGAAACGTTTTTCCTTTTGATCAACAGAGGGGAGGAAAGACTGACTGGATACATTTCAGCAGTTGTTGTGCCTATGATTATCTACTAATCCATGTCCAATAACCTTACTTACAGGCATACCTCGTACTCACAGACCAACAAAGCGCCCCTTCATAATATCAAGATGGCGCCAGTTCTGGGTTGCACCAGTCACCTCATTTCTGGGCAACGTCTTGATGTTCTTCCTCTTCCTCCTGCTTTTTGCCTATGTGCTGTTAGTGGACTTCACACCCCCTCCACCTTCTGGTCCGTCCAGCACTGAGTTTGTGCTGTACTTCTGGGTATTCACCATAGTGTGTGAAGAGATCCGAGAGGTGAGTACAGAGAGGCATCTTTATTGATATTCGATGTTTACTGCATGTACTTCACTTATTAAATGCAATGTTAAGGATAGAAATCAGTGTACAGTTTACAGTGCTAATTAAACAGCCTAATGTATGACCCAGCATCGTTTTGAATTGATCTCATTAAATCAGTGGTTTGATATTTTCATCTTCAAGGCCTTCTTTGGGGGGATGATGACTTGGCGTCAGAGTATCAGAGTGTACATTCAAGACGTGTGGAACAAGTTTGATGTCATTGCCATCACGCTGTTCATCACAGGACTGATCTGCAGGTACAGACAACAATTAGACACAAAGACAATCTGCAGTATCATTTAATAAAGATTATGTCAAGCATTTCACAGTGTTTCATTTTGTTCTCAGTGGTTTTGGCTTGTTTTGACAGAGAAAGCAGAGGTTGAAAAGTTTCAAAAGAAAAATATACAGAGACACAACTCTGACAACATTATAATAGTTCTAAAAAAGTCTTAACTGTACCATAAATCCTCATGTCAATTCTGTCCTGAATCAAATTCCATTAGAATCCTTTAAGTGCATTTTACACGTTGACCACTGTGTGGTGCTGTTACTACACTATTTTTGCTTCATGTGTTTTAGGATGTTTGACTTGTCATATGGATTTGGTCGGGATGTCCTGTGTGTGGATTTCATGGTCTTCACCCTCCGTCTCATTCACATCTTTGCCATTCACAAACAGTTGGGACCAAAAATCATAATTGTTGGCAAGATGGTGAGAAACATTATCACAAGTTGGCAGTTATACCAATATTATATTGCAGGACGTTTGCATTGTAATAACAAGGTAACTGGTTTCTCCTGTTCAGATGAAAGATGTCTTCTTTCTTCCGGGGGGTGGGGCGAGTGGCTTATGGAGTAGCCAATCAGGCTTTGCTTTACCCCTATGACCCTCGCCTAGACCGCATCTTGCGCCGGGTTTTTTACAGGCCATACTTGCACATCTATGGACAGATCCCGGTGGAAGAAATGGATGGTATAAGCATTTGTGTGCACATGATAAATTGTCTTGTAAAAGGGAAAAATGTTATTACACTTTCAAACCAGTGTAAGGCAACTGTATTGTTCTGCAGCTTGTACTGGATGTTTTTCCACATTTGTTGCATAG